TAGCTCCACCAAGTGCCTGGAGGTGGTCCAATTCACTCTTGCCTGAAGGTGCTCAGTTCTTTTCTCTGTGGGTCGTCACACCCACTGTAGTGACCTCACGTGTTGGGCCAGGAGGCCAACCATGCCATCTCGTGCCAGTCTCCTGGTTCTGCTGCTGCCGTATCTCACTGTCTCCTGTGTTACAGCTCTCTGTCTCCTGGGTCTAGGAAGTTCTCAGCGCAGAGACCCTGGCTCCAAAGGACGCACTCCACTCTCAGCTCTTTTTCTTGCTGGTAGTGAGGTCCTCACTTTCCACCTCTGGGATGACTCATTTTAAGCCTAGAGGGATGGCAAAACTTACCAATCCCCTTGTTAGGGTTCGATATACCTTATTTGCGTGGTTCCACCCCCACAAGGGTGCCATGCACCTTATTTGCATTATTAGCAAGCTGTCCAGTCCCCTTGGTGGGCCATAAGCATGTTATTTGCATAGTCCCACCTAATCATTTGTGGGAGTTACAAGACCATAGTAAGAAAGGCTATATAAAAGTGATCCATCACACCGCACTAACTCAGATATTTTTCCCCAAAAGATCGTTGTTCCCAATTGATGAATAGGTTGGCCTTTCCCCGGTGACTTGGAATGCTACCTTTTATCATGTATCAAACTACCACAAGTCTGTTTTTTGTCCTCTAGTCTACTCCATTGGCCTATTTGTCTATTGTGTGTATTCTACAGTATTTTAATTACTGTATTTTAGCTTTTAACATTATAGAAGCCAAATTCTTCCATGTCCTTTTTTTAATTTTCTGGGCCATTTATCTGTATTTAAACATTATTTGCGAATGAAGAGCTTCTTTGCCTTCTCATTTAGGAATATATTTGTCCTTTTATTTATGTTTTCTTTATCCCTTCAGTAAAATCTAATAGTTTTCTTTATATAAGTTTTGCATGTTTATTAGGTTTACTCCTGGTTATTATATAGCTTTTATTCCTATTTTAAAAAAGCTATTAATTTTTGTATCTGACAATCTTGCTGAATGCTTTTAGGTCAGTGCTTGGTCAGTGGATTCTCTTGCACATTCTAGGTTCATAATCATTAGCAAATGAGAGTTTTTTCTTTCTTTCATATATATATGTACAAACCTGGGAGCTACAGAAGTTGAAAGAGATAAGAAAGGACCTTCCCCTAGAGCTAACAGAGACAGAGCATAGCCCTGCTGATGCCCTGAATTTGGATGTCTAGCCTCCAGAACTGTGAGAAAATGAATTTCTGTTCTTTAAAGCCGCTGACTTTGTGGTATTTTATGGCAGCCTGTCTTAGCTGGGTTCTCCAGAAGAGCAAAACCAGTGAGACCTCTCTATATAAATATAGATAGATTTGCTTCACGGAATGGCTCATGCAACTGTGGGGGCTGGCAAGCCCCAAATCCGTAGGTCAGACAGTAGGCTGGAAACCTCTGCTGGGTTACGGGATTGTGGGGGCTGGTAAATCCAAAATCTGCAGGTCAGATGGCAGGCTGGAGACTTCTACCGGCTTATATCCCAGGATCCAGAGGTCAGGCACGAGAAGAGTGCAGGGTTGAGAGAGAGCTCTGCCAGAATATCCATTTATATTCTGGTGGTAGACCACACCCCCACAGAAACTCGCCTTCAGCTGATGGTTTATCACATCACATCACCAAGTCCAGTGACTGGCCAAACCACTGAGAATCATAGCCGAGTCAAGTTGACACATGAAATTAACCATCACATAGCCCTAGGAAACTGAGACAGACTTTTGTGCTGAGACCTGGGGTGCTGCTCTAACAGATACCTAAAAATGTGGAAGTGGGTCTGGAATTGGGCAATGAGTAGAGGCTGAAGGAGTTTTGAGATGCTTGATAGTGAAAGCCTAGATTGCCTTGAAGAGGCTGTTGGTAGAATTATGGACATTAAGAGCAATTCTGATGAGGGCTCAGAAAGGAAGAAGAGCTGTAGGGAAAACTTCTGTCGTCATTAGCAAAATGTTGCTATAAATGGGAACGTTAAATGTGCTTCTGGTGAGGTCGTAAAAGGAAGTGATGAACACATTATTGGACACTAGAGGAAAGGTGGTACTTGTTATAAAGTGGCAAAGAACTTGGCTGAATTATATTTGAGTGTTTTTTGGAAAATAGAACTTGTAAGTGATGAACGTGGATATTTAGCTTAGGAGATTGCTAAGCATCATCTTCAGGATGCAGCCTGGTTTCTCCTTGCTGCTTATAGTAAAATGCAGGCAGAAAGAGATAAATTAAGGAATAAGCTGTGCAAAACAGAACCAGAACTGGAATATTTGGAAAATTCTGTCATAAAATTTTAGAAAGTATGCCTTGGAGATGACACCAAGAGTGTGACTGAACACTTATTTGCTAAAGAGATTAGGCCTGTGACCTTGTAAAAATGGCATAGGGGCAGTGTCTGACTTTCTCTAACTTCGCAAGGGGGAGGGAGAATCAGGATCAACAGCCCAAGGCTGATCCCCATGAGGCGGAGGTCAGACATGCCTCCTCTCTCTGCCATCTTTACCAATTCTGACACCTCCCATCCCTCCCACGGCAGTCTCTACTTCTCTGCTCGGTTCCATAATTCATTGCAGTGGCCACACAGAACTCACAGACAATACTCACGATGATGGGGTTTATTAGGGAAGTAACAGGTTACAGTTCAGCCTTAGGAACAGTCAAGATACAGTTCTTCCGTCAGGACAGCCTCTTTTCAGCTATGCTCGCAGGCATGCCTCTCTCTGGCTCTAGGCCTTTGCCCTTCTCAGGCAGCTCTTTTAGCCCCTGCCAATAAGTGCCCAGAGGCACTTCACTCTACCAGTAAGCCCTGGCCCAAAATGATGCGCTGTCCACTCCTGGCCGTTCTTCCTTGGTGGTGGTAGAATCCTCTCTCTGCTCTGGAATTGGCTCTCTTTTAAGGCAAAATTGACCAGTCTCCTTGGTGGGCCACAATTGCCTTATTTGCACAGTCCCACCCAATCACTTGGGTGGGAGTTACAAGACCATGGTGAGAAAGACCACACAAAAGCAATCCATTGCACCACAGACCTATATATACAATCAACCATCTCAGCAGAAAAGTTCCCGGTTTAGACTAAAGGGGACAGAGATGGGACCAAATGAAAGAAAACTGTCTGATTCCTGGAATTCTACAGGCAGGAAATGGGAGGATGGAGCTACGTGACTGCAAAAAAAGTTGTCTTTCAAGAAAAGGAAAGAACAATCCCAGGAGCAATTCAAAGACCAGCAGGACTATCTACACAAGCACAGGGGATGGGGTTACTGTTCCATGGGACCAAGAGAATGGGGCTTCCCAGGGCCAAAGGGCCACCACCCAGATGTGCCTGGGGGACAAAGGATTATTTTCAGGCCTTGAGATCTAATGGAATTTGCCCTGCTGAATTTTGGACTTGCTTGGTACCCATCATCCCATCTTTGTCTCCAATTTCTCTGTTTTGGAATGGGAATGTCTGCATTATGCCTTCCCAACCACTGTACTTTGGAAGCAGGTAACTTATATCTTAGGTTTCACAGGTTCACAGATGGAGAGGAACTTAGCCCTAGGATGGACCATACCCAGAGTCTCACCCATACCTGATTTAGATGATTTAGAACATGAGATCTGGTACTTAGAATTGATGCTGAAATGGGTTAAGACTTTTGGAGATGCTGGGATGGAGTGAATGTATTCTGCACATGTGAAGGTCATGAATTTTGGAGGGCCAGAGAGCAGAGTGCTATGGATTGAATTGTGCCCCCCCAAAAGATGTTGAAGTCCTAACCCCTGCACCTGTGAATGTGACCTTGTTTGGGGATATAGGGTTTCTTTTGTTATCATTTGTGTCAAACACAGTCATACTGGAGTAGGGTGGGTCTCAGTCCTGATCCCTTCTGAACGGTGTCTTATAAAAAGGGAGGCATACAGAGGGGAAGGACTGCATGTCAGGATGCGTCTACAAGCCGAGGAACAAGAAGAAACGTCTGGGGCTGCAGAAGCTGAAAAAGATGAGGAAGGTTTTTCCCCTAGAGCTGACAGAGACAGAACATAGTCCTGCTGATGGCCTGAATTTGGACTTCTAGCCTCCAGAACTGTGAGAAGATGAATTTCCGTTCTTTAAAGCCACCAACTTATGTGGTATTTTGTTATGGCAGTGCTCAGAGACTAAGACACCCTGGAATTTCCTGAGCGATTGGAGGGTCTTTACTATTTATGGTGGGCCTCTTGGACCACACTTGAATAGTTTATGCCAACAAAGTGACTCTGGTAGTCTTAGAGTGGGGCCTGGCCACACTAGAAAGACCAATCACGTGATTAGAGGGTTGGGACTATGAGCCATGTGATATCAGCCCAATCTGAGGAGTTGGGGGGTGTGAGGGCTGGAGACTGAGTTCAAACATGTGGGCAGTGATTCAATCAGTCCTGCCTACATAATGAAGCCTCAGTAAGAACTCATGACACCAACGCTTGAGTGAGCTTCCTGGATTGGCAGCACTCTTGAGTATTGTCACATTTTGATGCCAGGAGGGTAATGTGTCCCTGGGGGTGACAGAAGCTTTGCATTTGGAACCTTCCCAGACCTTCCCCTATGTGTCTCTCCCTTTGGCTGGTTTTGATTTTATCTCCTTTGGCTATAATCAAACTGTGGTCCTAAGTATAGCGCTTTCCTGAGTTCTGAGTCTTCTAGCAAATTATCCAATCTGAAGGTGGTCAGGGAACCCCAGCGTTTGTAGCCAGCTGGTCAGAAGTGAGGATGTGCTGGGGACCCTGAACTTGGCAGTTGGTGTCAGGAGTGAGCAGCGTCTTGTGGGGACTGTGCCCTCAGACTGCGTAGTTTGTCAGCTCATTGTACTTACTTTTCTTCTGTTCCTTTCACTCCTGGTCCGGCCACTTCCTTCCCTCTTGGCCTCGTTCTCTCCATCCCATCATGCAGTGAGTGACAGTCTCGCGCAGTGAGTAATCTCTCCCCATCCTCTCTTCCCTTTGCCTTTGGCAGGAGATGGGCTGGGGATGAAGATTAAGCAGGAGAAGCAAGAGTGGCTGCTACAGACGTTGGTGCCGCAGGCCGCGCCCTCGGGGAGAGACAAGGAAAACGTTTTCCAGCAGCACCGGGGCTTCCCACCATGCCAAGCAATGGGGACACCTTGTGCTTTGGGGAAACAAGAAGAGACCGGGGGTCCAAGGTGGGCCCCTGCCCCTGAGCAGGACGGGAGGCGGGCAGGCCAGGCTCCAGCAGCGGCCCCTGCCCAGCCGAATGCCCCTTCCTCTGCGGGTCACTTTGTGTGCCTGGACTGTGGGAGGAGGTTCAGCTGGTGGTCGTCCCTGAAGATCCACCAGCGCACCCACACCGGCGAGAAGCCGTACCACTGCAGCAAGTGCGGCAAGAGCTTCAGCCAGAAGCCGAACCTGGCGCGCCACCAGCGGCACCACACGGGTGAGCGGCCCTTCTGCTGCCCCGAGTGCGCGCGCCGCTTCAGCCAGAAGCAGCACCTGCTCAAGCACCAGAAGACGCACTCGCGCCCCGCCTGCCACGCCTGTCCTGAGTGTGCTCGCTGCTTCCGCCACAAGGTGGGCCTCCGCACCCACCAGCGCGCCCATGCCCGAGACCGCCAGCTGGCCGGGGCTGCGCTGCAGAAGCTTCTCAGGTGCACAGTGGCCCACCAGGCCCACCGCCCCCGGCCAGCACCGCAAGGCCCTCCCGAGGGGGCTTGGCTGGGGCCCTGCCCGGGGTGGTGGGGCGGGCCGAGGCCCCAGGCCGCACTTGCTGTGACCCCAGGGTCCGGCGAGCCCCGCCAGTTCATCTGCAGCGAGTGCGGCAAGAGCTTCCCGTGGTGGTCCTCGCTGAACATCCACCGGCGCATCCACACGGGCGAGCGGCCCTACCCCTGCCCTGAGTGCGGCCGGCGCTTCAGCCAGAAGCCGAACCTGACGCGGCACCGGCGCAACCACACGGGCGAGCGGCCCCACCGGTGCCTGGACTGCGGCCGCGGCTTCCGCCAGAAGCAGCACCTGCTTAAGCACCAGCGCACGCACCTGGCTGCCCCAAAAGCTGCTGTGTGCCCCCGCTGCGGGGAGAGCTGCCCCAGCCGGGGGGCGCTGCGTGCCCACCAGCGCGCCCACACCTCCAATGTAGTGGGTGGGGAGCCGGGACAGGGTTCTGAGCGGCAGCCAGCGGCCCCCCGGGGCGTCTCCCCGCAGCCACAGCGGTCGCGGGGGCCTGGGACGTGGGGCGGGGGGCAAGGGGGCCTGGCCACGCCTGGCGAGCCTCGCCAGTTCATCTGCAGTGAGTGCGGCAAGAGCTTCTCCTGGTGGTCCGCGCTCACCATTCACCGGCGCATCCACACGGGCGAGCGGCCCTACCCCTGTCCCGAGTGCGGCCGGCGCTTCAGCCAGAAGCCGAACCTAACGCGGCACCGGCGCAACCACACAGGCGAACGGCCCTATCAGTGCGCTGCCTGTGGCCGCAGCTTCCGCCAGAAGCAGCACCTGCTCAAGCACCAGCGAGTTCACTGGGGAGCCCTGAACCCCGTCCCCCGCCCCAAGGAGGAGGTGCTTTGATAGACAGCAGAATGTGTTGGAAATGGCCAGGGGCTTTCAGAGCCCCAGGGTGTGAGACTCCATCAAAGGCAGCTCCTTAAAGCTCTCAGGCCTGAGAACAGGAACCCAGAGGCTGAGAGAGGAGGCGTGGAAGACCAGGCATCCTGCCCCTGGAGCCCGGTGTGTTGAGGCCCTCCCTGTGCACCCCCTCAGGTGGGATCCCTGGCGAGAAATGGCCCAGGTATGGGCGGGTAGGATGGCAGTCAAACGCTGCCTGCGGGATGCAGCTCAGATGCTACTCAAGTCTCAGTCAGACTGAGACGCCAAGGACTGGAAGCCAGAACTGTTCAGGGAGGGGCAGGCAGAGCCCTAGTGCCCAGAGCAGTGCCCGGCGCTTAGTGGCCACTGGACAGATGCTTTTGGGAGGATGAATGGTTAGGTGGCACTTCAGCGCTGAGAGCCCCACTGCCCATTGTGTGTGTGCTGGGCCTGGCCTCAGCACTGGTCTGTGTGGTAGGACCAGGGCGTAGGGGGCTGGTTTCAGCTGAGGTTTGGTGGCTTGGGGGTTGCCACCTGTGCCTGCCTGATGGGAGCCTTACCAGCCCCAGGGCTTCAGAAAGAAAATGAAGGATTGACTGTTCCACGTGGTCTTGTGGTCCTTTCTAACCCCCTCTTGAACACTAGGTCTGTGTTCTCCCAGGGACCTGTTGGCCCTAGGACAGGAAAGGTGCCTTTGTGTGGGCATAGCAACTCCGGCCCCAGTTCTTGCTGGGGGATGGGGATAGTGTTTTCTCTACTCCAAGTCAGCTTGCTGTCTTCTTCCCATGTAGTCCTTCAACTTACAGCCACCCAGAGGTCACACCTCACACCCTCAAGGTGGGGTCACTGAGGCCCCGGCTACCTAGAGAAAACCCAGGGCTCTAGACCAGGTTATGGCCTTGGACAGGGTCTTCCCAGATGGGAGGAGGGGATGGCAGAGGGTACAGGTGGGTGTGGGGGCACCAGCATTTGATGGCTGGGAGGCGGGAGGAAGAGGGTCCAGCATGGCTCTGTAGGAGGAGATCTGCACCGCCTGTCCACCCTGCTGGGGAGCCAGAATTCTTCTCTGGACTTGGGGCTGCCTTACCCGGAAGCTGCCGGGGCTCAGCCTGGCTTCCCGTCACCCATTCAGATCTTGTTTAATCCTCTCCACTTGACAAAAGCTCTAACTGTTGTCGCCTTCCAAAAGGACACCTGGAGGTGGTGGTGAAGGCCAGGAGGCTGCTTTGGCCATCCCAGCATACCTGGGAGATGCAGGACTGGGGCTGGTTAGAACTCAGGGCTCCTGATGCCCTGTCCTCCCATGCCTTGTCCTATACTTGGTCCTCTACCACCCCATCCCATGCCCTTTCCTCTGATAACCCATCCTCTGATACCCCGTCCCGTGCCCTGCTCTCTAACACCCCATCTTCTCATGCCCTGCCCAGTTCCCCATCAGGGACTGAGCTAGGCAAGGTGGGTCAGTGCTGGCCCCTGTGGGATCACTCAGCCCTCAGGATGTCTCTGACCCGCCCCACCACGTGTGCCTCTTCAGCTCCCTGCAGCCTGCCAGCCTGTCTTCCAGGGGGCAAGTGCCCTGGATCTCATCCGGACCCACTTTGACCATGGGGAAGACTTGGAGCCCAGCAAGCTGTGTTGAGGAGGATTCCTGCATGCTGTCACTCGTTCTTGGGCTGGAGGGCCGAGACCTTCGAGGACAGAGCCCTTTGGAGCCGAGTGCCGGATTGGGTGGACAGGCAGATACTGGAGAACTCCGTGGGTGGCAGCATCATCTCCCATAAGTGGCCTGTTTAAGGACAAGGTCAATTACACAGCTGTACTGGTGGGACCTGGGGTTAATGGGGCTAATGGGAGTTGACGGGGCAACTTTTTCTCCCCATGCAAATTCATCAGAATGCCATTCCCTGACCCCAGGGACTGGCCTCTCACAAACAGATGTATTAGGTCACAAGGGTGACAGGGCTGAACCTGAGGCTGAGGTGGGTGAGAAACACCCACCCAGGAGCTCATGGACCTTCATGGAATAAACCGTTTTATATGTACACAGCCTGGACAGTCTATACAGACAGGCTTGTCCATTATCTCATCTAATCTCACCATGACAAAATTGATATTTGATACCCCAGAGAGGGGTTGGGGATGGTGTGATGTATGTAGCAAGGTTGTTGCAAATTGGTGTCAGGTCCCACGCCTCCTGTTGGTCTGAGCCTCTTCCGCTGCCACAGTCACAAGCTTCTCCAAGGCTGGCACTGCATCGTCAACATCTGTCTTCATTCCTTTTCCTTTTAAAATAATGAAACCAGGTCATGATATTTAGGAGGAGCCATGCCATTAAATCAGAGAAGGTCAAACTGGTTATTCTGGTGGCTTACAATCCAGAGTACTCTGGAGAATGCTGAGATTAAGGGCCTGTTTAGGGGAACAGGAAACAGCCATGGATAAATCAAGATCTTAAAGGATTTTTATCCTTTTTTTTTTTTTTGTAGACAGGAGAGGCATATTTTATTTCTCCAGTGACATAGGACTGGACAGTTGACTGTAAATTAAAAGCCTGCTTGTACCACAAAACTGGGTCCCTTGGGTGGTTCAGTCAAAGAGGTAAGACCACCAGCTGGCTGACAAGAGAAGTGTCCATTCTTTGGCCCAGGTTTTGGAATTTTGCCAGCCTTGAGCTCATCAATGATTTATTCAATATCCTTAGGTGTCAGTTCATCATAGTAGCTGTCATTTATTTGAACCATTGACGCATTTCACAGGCACCTAAACATTCCACCTCTGTAAGAGTGAAAAGTTTGTCAGGTGTAGTCTCCCCACCCTTTATTCCAAACTTTCTCTGAATGGCCTCTAGTATGCTGTCAGAATCTTGAAGCATGCAAGGTGTGGTAGTGCAGACCTGAATGTGATACTTTCCAACTGGCTTTCAATTATGCATTGTATAAAAAGTATACTTCATATACTCTCATTGGAGGTACTTGCGAAGCTTCTGCAACCTTGTTCCTAGCAGAGATGGGCAACCATCCATTCTGTCTCTGCGCTAAATCCAGGACTGGAAGCCCAGCTGCTGCTTTATGTGCTTCTGGATACTTTTATACAACTGCCTCTATGCAAGTTCAAGTTGAAACTGAAAAAATTAGAACAAGTCCCTGAGAGCCAAAGTATGACCTTGAGTATATCCCACCTGAATTTAGAGACCATCTCGAGAATAGATTTGACGCGTTGAACACTAATGACCTAAGACCAGGTGAGCTGTGGAATGACATCAAGGACATCATACATGAAGAAAGCAAGAAGTCATTAAAAAGACAGGAAAGAAAGAAAAGACCAAAATGGATGTCAGAGGAGACTCTGAAACTTGCTCTTGAACATCGAGTAGCTAAAGCAAATGGAAGAAATGATGCAGTAAAAGAGCTGAATAGAAGATTTCAAAGGGTGGCTTGAGAAGATAAATTATAATGACATGTGCAAAGACCTGGAGATAGAAAACCAAAAGGGAAGAACGCATTCGGCATTTTCCAAGCTGAAAGAACTGAAGAAAAAAAATTCAAGCCTGAAGTTGCAATATTGAAGGATTCTATGGGGAAAATATTAAATGATGCAGGAAGCATCAAAAGAAGATGGAAAGAATACACAGAGTCATTATACCAAAAAGAATTGGTCGACATTCAACCATTTGAGGAGGCAGCATATGAGCAGGAACCAATGGTACTGCAGGAAGAAGTCCAAGCTGCACTGAAGGCACTGGCAAAAAACAGGCTCCAGGAATTGACAGAGTACCAATTGAGATGTTTCAGCAAATGAATGCAGTGCTGGAAGTGCTCACTCATCTATGCCAAGAAATCTGGAAGACAGCTACCCGCCCAGCCGACTGGAAGAGATCCATATTTATCCCTATTCCAGAGAAAAATGATCCAACAGAATGGGGAAATTATCAATATCATTTACTTTATCACACAAGTAAAATTTTGGTGAAGATCATTCAAAAGCAACTGCAGAAGTACATCAACAGGAAACTGCCAGAAATTCAAGCTGGATTCAGAAGAGGACATGGAACCAGGGATATCATTGCTGATGTCAGATGGATCTTAGCTGAAAGCAGAGAATACCTGAAAGATGTTTACCTGTGTTTTATTGACTATGCAAAGGCATTTGACTGTGTGGATCACAACAAATTATAGATAACATTGCGAAGAATGGGAATGCCAGAACACTTAATCGTGTTCATGAAGAACCTATACATAGATCAAGAGGCAGTCGTTCAAACAGAACAAGGGGATACTGCATGGTTTAAAGTCAGGAGAGGTGTGCGTCAGGGTTGTATCCTTTCACTATACTTATTCAATCTATATGCTGACCAAATAATCCGAGAAATTGGACTATATGAAGAACAGGGAAGCATCAGGATTGGAGGATATGCAGATGACAACCTTGCTTGCTGAAAGTGAAGAGGACGTGAAGCACTTACCGATGAAGATCAAAGACCACAGCCTTCCGTATGGATTACATTTCAACATAAAGAAAATAAAAATCCTCACCACTGGACCAATAAGCAACATCATGATAAACACAGAAAAGATTGAAGTTGTCAAGGATTTCATTTAACTTGGATTCACAATCAACACCCATGGAAGCAGTGGTCTAGAAATCAAAAGACGCATTGCATTGGGCAAATCTGCTGCAAAAGACCTCTTTAAAGTGTTAAAAAGCACAGATGTCACCTTGAAGACTAAGGTGCGCCTGACCCAAGCCATGGTATTTTCAATCACATCATATGCATGTGAAAGCTGGACAATGAATAAGGAAGACCAAAGAAGAACTGACGCCTTTGAATTGTGGTATTGGTGAAGAATATTGAATATACCATGGACTGCCAAAAGAATGAACAAATCTGTCTTGGAAGAAGTACAACCAGAATGCTCCTTAGAAGCAAGGATGTGTGAGACTACGTCTTATATACTTTGGACATGTTTTCAGGAGGGCTCAGTACCTGGAGAAGGACATCATGCTTGGTAAAGTAGAGGATCAGCAAAAAAGAGGAAGACCCTCGATGAGATGGATTGACACAGTGGCTGCAACAATGGACTCAAGCGTAATAATGATTGTGAGGATGGCACAGGACCAGGCAGTGTTTCATTCTGTTGTACACAAGGTCGCTGTGACTCGGAACTGACTTGACAGCACCTAACAACAACAACATCCTGCCCACTGCCGGGTGCAGCTGTGCAGTGGGAATCAGCACCTAAAATGCGGCTAGTGCAGCTGAGGAAATGAATTTTCAACAGCCGCACACAGCGGTTGGACAGTGCAGTCTTGGAGGAATGATGCTCGCAATGGCAAGAAGCTAGAGATGTTGTCTCTCCCCACACCTCACCCCAGGCCCAAATGCTAGAAAGAGCTTCCATTTTTGTTGGGAATAGTGGATAGAGTCGGACAGTTCTGGGGTTAAATTATGGCTCTGCCATCTAAGGTGTGGGACCCTGGGCCTATATAAACCTACGTAAAGGGTATAGTGTGCCTGGCACACGGCAACACTCAACGAACGGCAGCTAGTGCCGTTATTTTCATAAACTTGAGCAGCATTTTGTGCCTCCCCGCCTCTACCTC